CTGTAACCAAATTTATGAGCTGATCACCTCCTCTCCAGAGGCAGCACGGGTGACAGTGAATTGACAGTAAAATGCAGACAGTGACATAACATTTGTTTAGCTTTATTGAGGTGCCCTTTAAATACTAGAATGTCTTTGTATGTATGTTTACGAGCATCTTGGTCGCATCTGTTTTGCATCGTTTCAGCTAACAAGATTTTTCTTTTTTTTAATACATTTTGCCCAGGCCTATAGATGCAATATCTATAAAACCATATGCATATTAAAGCATTTTACATTCTATAAACAAAATAAGTGAGTGTTGACTTGAGGTAGAGTGATCCTTTCAAGAGTGAAATAATATATATATAAATAATGGTATATAATATGTATATTTTGTAAGTTTAATCAGCTTTAAGACTCAAAAGACCTTCTTAAAAGGCATACTCTTGTTTACTTTGCTCCATATTTGCATTAAGCCTTGGGTTATTATTTATACGAATACATTTTAACATAAAAAAATGAATCTATGCAGCGAATTACCTTTGGCATCAAACACAAGTTGTTTTTGCTTTTTCATATAAATCACTTCCTTGGTTTAGTTTTGGCTTTAAACACGAGGATGAAAGCCTTTATTGTAAATGAGGCACAAGTCTTTTACACAGTTGGACAAATGAGACAAACATGAAAAACATGAACACAAGGCAGGCCTGACAAATGGCCCTGTCTTTGTTTAATGGCGTTGTTAAATCGGGATATGGCTAGAAGACCCCATTTCAGCTCGATGTCAGTGAATATGCTCTATGAAATCCTAATTTCCATGCACAGCGACGGGCAAACATTTCTACTTTGATCATTTGGTAGCTGACATCTGACAGTTACTTTTTTCCAACTGACAAACAGAACTCTATGGACCCATTTAGGACCAACAACAAAGAAATCACCACTTTTTGTATTTATGGGTAGAGGTGGATCGGACTCCTTATTCACTTATGGAGCATGATGACTTCACCATGTCTATTGGCTAGCGCTCCGACACATTGTATGTGATAGGCTAAGGGGTGGGACATCTTTAAGTGGTTGACCAATCACAACAGAGCCAGCCAGCTAACCAATCAGAATTCAGTATTCATATAGGCTTTGAAATAAGTATCATAACGTGGAAATAATCAAGTACATTTACACACGGCATCTATTGCACGTCTGTCCGTCCTGGGAGAGGGATCCCTCCTCTGTTGCTCTCCCTGAGGTTTCTCCCATGTTCCCCTTTAAACTGTGGGTTTTCTCTGGAAGTGTTTCCTTGTACGATGTGAGGGTCTAAGGACAGAGGGTGTCGTATTGTCATACTGATATTCTGTACAAACTGTGAAGTCCACTGAGACAGATGTAACATTTGTGATATTGGGCTATATAAATACACATTGATTGATTGATTGAAGTAAAGTAACCCAAAAACTACACTAAAGCAGAATGTACTTAGTTTCAATCCACCACTTGTTACGGGCCATGTGTAACAAAGCCTCAAACGCTGCTTCTGCTCGGTGTTCCCCCCCCGCCGCTGCCGAGCTGCTTCTGTTGTTATTATCAGACAGCAGATTGGCCAATTCCCCCACCAATTGTGATCCAGCAGAATGGAAATCTGGTGAGCAGGGAAATGTTAATCGAGTTCAATTAGGCTTTGTAGCATGTTTGTTTCCCGCCAACAGATTAAGCAGAATCCCCACCCTCGCTTACTGAAATGAATGATAACCCTCCGTCAAAAGTCTGCAACGGGTAATTTGAGGATAGGTGGAAGTTAACAGATACTGGCGCCGGCAAACTCCTCGTGGCGGTATTAGAGATAAATACAGCAAGCCCTTTGAACGACTTGGGCTGGAGTTCACCCTTGAAGGGAAATTAATTTAGGATTTCTGATGCTTTTCTTTATTTTTCTTGAACTTCTCAGTGACACTGTGGGGATATTGTTCGAACATCCTGTGCAGTAATCAAGTGCCTCGGGGTGCTTTAAAAATCATCCTTTATCTGGCAGTGATTCCCTGCTGAATAGACCGACATGTTATACGTTTCCACTAGTCATCAACCATTCTCTTTTAACCAGGCTTGTATTAGAAGGATCAAACATGCATGAAATGTAATTACTTAATCCAAAGATCACCATTTAAGTATGTTTCGTATTTTTTTTACTTAATATACTATGCAGGTGCATTTGTAATATTTTGCATGATATCATATATTGCCCTGTAGTGGGAAATGTGTATTACTTGATCAACATTAGGTATAACTCTTGGATTAACTTCATTTTTTTAACAACCATTTATATGTTTTATGAGGGAAACATTTTAGATTCTGAATTAGGACACATGATTAGAAGTGAAACCACCTTGGCTTGGGTTGTCTTTACCTTAATCCTTCAAGTTATTATTATCACACCACCCACAAAACTAATTAACAAGTTCTCAATGAGCGGTGGTAGAACCCTTTGTTGCCATAGCAACATGTAGACTTAATCACAAATGAAAGGACTGGTTGTTTGGTAGCTCGCATAGAACACCTCACCTTCTCCAGCTCTTGTATTTGCTTGGTTTGATTTTGTCTAGTTTTTCCTTTTGTTTCATCGTCTTGCTCCTGGGGGGACCCACTTCATTTTTACAAAACCAAAACGAGATTTGTCGTTGATTTCAAAGCATTGCATCTGATTTAATTCTCACGACTCATTCTTGGTAATTCAGATTCATGGCGCATCAGGAAAGGTGCTGCAGATGTTGCACATAGGTTACATAAGCTGACAAATAAACATGGCACAGTAGAAGCAACAAATACATAAATGAGCAATTAAGGCCCCCTTCATTTTATTTAAAATGTATAGAAAATTCAACATTAATATTTCTCTCTTTTGTTTCTATTGCAATACTGCAGTCACTCTTTCTAATAGCATAAACACCTCGTGCTTTTCCCCTCTATCATCTTTTTTCCAGCACCTACCAGTGTTTTTGCTTGTGTTCCCAGCATGGTAAACATACAGTACCACACAATCCAACACAACACCAGCATGGTTTAATCAATCCCCCGCCATCACACACCCCCCCCCCCTCCCCTCCAGCACACACTGCACCTCGCTGATTGGATGCAGAGTTGCTTCTTTGGTAAATAAAACATTTATAGAGGCTCAATTAGCGCAGCCTGTTGAGTCTGCTGCAGCTGTGCTCGCCAGCTGTTTTTAAAGGAAGAGTGATGCAGGGAGGTGAGGCGAGGGAAAAGAGGATGTCAGGAACAGGAAGGGGAAAATGTATAAAGTAAGATGAAGCCAGAGAGTTGGTTTTTGATTTGGTGCTGGACCAGTTGGCTTTTCCAAATATATAAAAAAGTAAGCAGAGAGAAATATATGTTTTAATTAAAGTTTCAAAAGCTGATTTGAAGTGATGCAAAAGTAAAGCTTTCACTACAGATCTCTGTCAGGAATCTGGTTGGGAATTTATTTAGAACCACTGTTATGGTCAGAAGTCATTTTTATAGTAAAAGTAATTGTCTCTGTTAAGTCTGCTTCTAATGATCCTACAGGAGGCTTTTATCTGCTTCCCTTGATGCCCATCAGCAGGTTAGCTGTACAACATGTTACCTCATTGATTTACTCCAGTTAAAATTGTGCAACAATCCTAAAACAGGAAGTTAACAGATAGCTGGCTAATCTTGAGACAAATGACCTGAAGTTGTGTTTTTCCCACCTTTTAAAAAACACCCAAATGTATTGTATCCTTCATACACACACTTGCTTTCACTCACTATCAGGCTTGGGGAGTAACGTATTAAAGGCAACGGATAATCAGGATACAAAAAAAGATAACTGTACCCCCTTAGATTTATATAAAGAAATCTGATTAATGGTACATTTCTTAAACATTTGGGATTACTAGCAGGGTTGCAATGTTACTAAAAAGCACTTAATATAATAATAATAATAATAATACACTTAATTTAAAAACATCTTATTGATATGTATTTTCTATTTGACTTATTTGCATTTCATTTATTATATTGTTATTATTTGCTTTTCAATCAGCACCCCTGGAGTTGGTATGGTGTGTGTGACTGCTCTCTTGTGTGTAAGAATTGATCAAAATGAAGTGCCAATTTTAGATTTCGCATGAATCTCATACGCTCCCAAAGAGGAGCTCAAAACCATCCCTTTGCTTGCTGTGCATGAATAAGGCAGTTATTATTATTCAATCTTCTGAAACATTTTTTGATTGACGGTTGGTGCACTTTATTAGATTTCTTATCAGGAAGACCCCCATTGCTCCACCTTGGCATGTGCCGCAGCACAGTATGAGACGAGATGCTTTTTTCTTTTTTCATTGATATGACTGGTCTGAATGCCGCTTTACTGCAGCCTCTGGTTTCCTTAGGTCAAATGTAGATGAGTGCCATTCAAACAGATATTGACGTAGGCTAACACACGGTTTATTGCCAGTAAATAGTCGATTCATGTGTGAGATAGTGACACAAGAGTCAAATATAAATACAGGGATGCTGCGGGGAAACTTTGGCGCTGTTCTGAGTTTGTTCTAATCCGTCATTGTTAAAAAAAATGCCATCATAGACGGAAAATATTGGGTTAACCAACGCGACCCGTGTTTGTAGGTGAACGCAGGGTCAGGTGCTGCACAATGGGTGCATTTAGCCTGCTTGCTTTTGTCCTTTTTTAAATGAGCTTTTAATTAAATTCAGTATGTTAAAGGTGTGTATATGAACATATGTGTGTGTTCTTGTAAAAAAAACTAATGAGGAGACCTTGTGTATTAGTGCTGCATGGAGGGAAAAGAGCTTCTGGATTCATTGTGAAACAAGGATTGCTGGCAAAGCACATGAAGAGACGGACGACGCCAGCACTGAAATTGGTCCTGCCCCGGTCTTGCCACATACCCTTTTCATGATTATAAATGGCCTCTGCTTGGCTTGGTGATGACGGCTCCAAACCCTTTTAAAGTAACTTAATTCCCCTTTCTTCTGTCCTTTTCTTTCAGTGGAAGGCTGCACAGATTGGTCAGTGGACTACCTGAAATACAAGGTGCTTCTGGGGGAACCTGTACGGATTAAATGCGCTTTATTCTATGGATATATTCGGGCCAACTACACCCATGCACAGAGCGCTGGACTCAGCCTCATGTGGTACAAAAGTGCAGGACACGGGGACTTCGAGGAACCCATCAGTTTTGACGGCACGAGAATGAGCAAAGAGGAGGACGCCATATGGTTTCGACCTGCAGAGCTGGACGATGTGGGGTATTATTCCTGCGTTTTAAGGTAAGTGGAGGAATACTGCTCTCCTCTTAACTGTCAAATTTAAATTGGTGTTTTTTTTGCTTTGCCTTTGACTTGAGCAAGCGTTTGTGAGAAAGTCTTTATCCGTTTAGTAGGGTGAGTAAAATAGTGCGGGTAAATAATATCCTCTGAAGACCCTGTGGGCACGAGTGAAGCTATTTGAAAGTCCTCCTCTGGGGATTTCTAATGAAGTCTCTCTCATCTATGGCCACAAGGGCACTGCTCCTCGGTCCACAGAGCATCTAACAGCGTGAGGTTTATATGCTAAATTATTTCTTTATTCTCCTCTGGGGGACAGTAAGCTATGAGGTGCAATTGTTAAATCGATTATTCTTCTTTCCTCACAAGTCCTTTCTTTCTGAGCAACGAGTGAGGTGAAAGAGAATGGACAGTAATTCAGCATGAGAAGACTGAGGAAAGGGGAAAGTCCTTGATAACAATATAGAAAAAAGCAGCGGTCCTCCCACTATCTTCCTTTTCCACTTGCCTGATGGTTGTTTGATTTATGACTTCTATAATGTGGTGAAATGTCTGGCTTCCTACCTCACATTGGCAGGAATTGTTTTAACATCAAGGTTGTCTTTGGCCAGACATATTTTAAAATGGCAAAGCGACTTTCTTGGAGCACGTAAGCAAGTGGGACTTTAAAAAACATATTCCTGAAAGAAAGGAGCTGATCTTTTCCGGAACATTTTTAATTTAGCTTAAACACAAATGATTTAGTAGACAGGAGAATAATGTAGTCTTGAGCACCCAGCACAGGTCTCCATGTGTTTCATAAGCTCAACTCTAAGAGGTTTTGGCTATTACTATTCATCACCATTAGCACTCTCCCCCTTTGCTGTGGCGGTCGCCGTGAATAGAAACGGGCAGCACCAATCCAACAATTCTCTATTCAGCGACACTGGCAGCATTTTCTGGAGGTAGACAATCAGTCAGCTCAGAGTTATTGTGTAATCACGCAGAAAGTAGAGCCATGAGATTTGATTTGGAAAAGTAGCGCTGCTTTGTCGCCAGTCTCCGCCATTCAGAACCAAATTAAGGGGCAACACTTATGTGCCCACCATGGAGAGGAATAACAATAGTTCTGAATGCAGAGCACTTTTGCATCGCACATGATTTCTCACATTTCTTTTGGACTATTGTTGTGTTCTGCAGGTTTTCCAGTCGTGACAAGGATGTTTACTTTTTTGCTTAACTTTCAACTCCATTCACATGGAATACGTACAACGCTGACATTTACTAACAATGGCTGCATTGATGCTGCAATCAGCTGCACTGATTTTCACTGTTAATCATGCAGCTGTGGGGGACGGGGGGTCTCAGATCTTTATTGTAGGAAGTAGACACACGATACACTGATTACTTCCAGCACAGTAATAAGACCATGTCGTGAAGAAACTTTCTAAATATGATGAGGGACTCAAACTGCTTCAGGAAAGACAATAAAAGGGAAATGAAAAAATATTGCATTAATTATTATTTGGGCTGTCAAACGATTACATGTTTTAATCAGATTAATCACTTCTAAAAATGTATTAATCATGATTAATCACCATTCGAACTATGTCCAAAATATGCAATTTCTTTATGTATATTGTTGTGGGAATGGAAAGATAAATGAAAGAAGGCGGATATATCCATTTAACCAGGGCCGGCCCTAGACTTTTGGGGGCCCTAAGCGAGTTTTGGCTTGGGGGCCCCCCTCACTCTAGCGCGTTCTCACTACATACAACACGGGACCAACTTTTGTCTTATGATGTTAGCATAAGCACACATATTGTATAAATAAGCATGTAAACACCGTGGACCTAAGCTCCTCTAGAGGGGCCTCACCTCCTCTAGGGGGTCCGGTGGCATGCTCCCCCGGGATTTTTTTTTTTTAATATTGAAGTTAAAAGCATCAATCTGATGCACTTTGAGAGCAAAATTAAAAGATCTATGGATACATCTCTCAACACCTATATGAAACAGATTTTTCTTTTTGGATATTTTACAAATCACTTAAACTGTATTCTTGTTTTGTCATATAGTATTTCATAACTGTTTTTCATTTATTCTCTCTGGCTGTCCATCTCATAATGTTCACATAGAAACTAGCTGTCGATGGGAATATCATTCAGAAGAATTATAATTTCTTGCAAACATCTATCACAAAAACAGATTGCACATTTAAATTCAGGTGTTGTTATGGCAACGTCAGTGGCCAAACAGCCACATTTTGTTACGCAGAGTGAAGCAGGTAGGACCCAAATGCAGATTACACTTGACGATACCTTTATTTCAAGGACTTTAAATAAACTTGGACAAACAAAACACTCTTCGGTGAACTGGGTCACATACAAAAGAAGCACCAACACTGAACACAGGAAGAGACAAGACTAAATACAGGGAGGGGTAATCACAAGACGAGAAACAGCCGGGCAGGGGAGGAGAAACACAAGGGTCACAGGTGAACACAATAAAACAACTAGACACACCAGGGAAACTAACGACGGGAGGAAAAACACAGGGAAAAGGAACAGACAATAACCCAGGAGGAAAACATGACAGAAAAACCCAAACATACAAAATTACAAACGTGACATAACCCTAGGAGCGTGACAGAACCCCCCCCCCCAAGGGACGGATCCCAGACGTCCCAAAAAACAAAGTCCAGTAGGGTGGGTGGAGGGGGTCTGGAGGACGGGTCTCGGGCGGACGGCCCGGGGGCAAGCCAGAGACCAAGGTGGGGAACTCGGGCGGACGGCCCGGGGGCAAGGCAGAG